GTGGATTTGCCTTTGGATCATGATCACGGGCTGCAACAGAACAGTTTAGACACCTAGGAAATTCTGTGACTACCTGACTCCTACAAATATTATACTAAACAAACCATGCATCTGTATTTTTAAAACTGTCTGTGTATGTGTGTGTATGTCCACGTTAGTACGTACATAAGTGTGTAGGTGCTTGAGGGAGCTAGAAGAGGGCATCAGTTCCTTGGAGCTGGAGTTTGAGGTGGTTGTGAACAACCCGAATATGAGTCATGGGAACCAGAGTCAGGTCCCCTGAAAGAGCAGCAAGTGCTCAACTGCTGAGCCACCTCTAGCCCTGCACCTGTGCTTCCGTAGAAACGTTTTGTCTGTTTTTCTAAGAATCAAGGTAAGAAAAAAAGAACCTGAGAGACCCAAGCTTTTGAAATGTATACAGTCACCCTGGGTATGTCTGGGTTCCTGTTCCGAGATCACTCACTAAAACTCACAGGTGCTTAGCATCCCTTAAACAAGACGGCATAGTCAATGCACAGATGTGGTCACCTCTGGGTTATCAAATACAGTGCGAACACTATGGAAACAATCACCATACCATAATAAATGGAAGTAATGACAAGAGAAAAGGTCTGTACATCTTCAGGATGCATCCTGGATAGATACCCCCTTCCCAGATAGTTTTGGGTCCCTAGGTGGACAAATGTGAGGACATGGAAGCCAAAAAATGCAAGGCCTGACGGTACTCACAGAGAAACCGGGAGCCAGTACTACCATTTTCATGATTCTTACAAATCTCAGCAGCTTTATGAGCAGAGTCTCTCTTTCTCTGCATGCTTGGTCTAGAGAACCTACTTTATCCCCATGAGGGGAGTTGAGAAGACTGTGTGCATGTGTGTGCACACACACTGAGTCCAGCTCCTTTTCCCATGCAAATATATGGTGGTCCCTCCAAATTGGGGTGGGGACTATTCATGTTCAAGCTGGTAAACTACTGAGTTATACTGCTGTGGGAGCTCCTTCCACTCCTTCATCCAATAGCCTTTAAGATTCCAGCCCACGTGGCCATGGTCTCTTATACTATAAATGCAGCTGTAAAGCCTGTGCTCACTCTCTTGCTTCTGGCTCTCACCTCCAGCTGCTAGACTCTGTTCCTGTTCCCTGCTTGTGCAGAGGACTGTGATCTAAGACAGTGATCTGTGAGTCTCCCCTAAATAAATAACTTTTTATTATATGTAATTCTGAACTAGTGTGGGATTATTTTGTATCTTCCACCATCATCTGGCACCCAACATGGGGCTGACCAAATCCACTTAAAAGCCTGAGAGAGTTTGGGAAGTTATTCTAGATAGAAAAGAATAGAGTTAAGCATGGCTTCTTGATAGCAGCACTTTCTCAAGTGCTCTCATTTAAGAGAGGCTTCCTAACTCAGTTTTAGCTGCAAAACCTTGCAGTTCTTTTAAGAGGTCCTGCCACAAAATACTTAAATGGTGTTGATGAAAAGCTGACTGCATACTTTTTGGTGGTAGCAGGAACCATGCAATGCCATAGAGTTGTGACAATAAACATGGCTCCCGCCAATACCTCTGCAATGAGGCTAGGGCTAGACTCTTCAGAAAAAAAGTTAAGGAATGGGTTGGATCCATTCGTCAAAACCACAATTTTAATCCTAGCTATATCACTTAGCAAATTAAAGAATCATGTGGTCAGAAAAAGAGATATATACAGTAAAGATAGATTCAAAGGCAAAGAAAACCTCTAAATGGTTTGTAGTGTGTTTAAAACTATATGTAGGCTTGGGAGAAAAAGAAAGGATAAAGTCCTTAAAAGAGAAAAAGAGTAGTTGGGTGTGGTGGTACACACCTTTAATCCCAACACTTGGGAGGCAGAGGCAGGCAGATCTCTGTGAGTTCAAGGACAACCTGGTCTACAGAGTGAGTTCCAGGACAGCCAAAGATACACAGAGAAATCCTGTCTCAAAAAGCCAAAAATTAGTAAAAGAAAGAGTTTAAAATAAAGCCAAGTAAAGATGAAAACTACACAGAGAGTCTGGATACTGTATGTTAGTGTGTTTTCTTTAAATTGTTTGATGGCTAAGGAAGGAGCAAAAGCTGGTAAAGACATTTGCTTATAAATGCTGCTAAATTAATCCAAAATAGGTATTTTGAAAATACCTTGACTTCAAAATTGATGTCAATAGCTATATTACTTTGGAGAAGAGGTTTTGCTTTTGTTTCCACAGGAAATGAGAGGCTATGGGTTTATTCTGTGTTAAGAAAAGTCAGGTTTGACCAAGGAAGACCCCTGAGAAATCTCCAATAGGAGGAATGGCCCAGATTTCTGAGTTCTACATCCAGAAGAGTCCAAAGACTGCTGCCTGAGATGATCAAGCCTCACAGAATATACCAGAAAGGACTTGATTATAATTCTAAATTTTCTTTAGGTCCCATAAGATTATCAGCACCCCCAATTAGCAGGAAGTAGCCTGGAAAACTATGCCCACATTCCTAAAAAATGGATTATGGATGTTTGCCTTTGTTTAGAATGTTGGTTAGAAATTATAGATAATGGTCAGTAGAAAAACTAAACAAAGAAGATTCAATTCAGAGTTCTTTTAAAAGCGGGAGGGGGGGGTGAAAAGTGCTGTGGGACAATGGTCTGTACCCTGTCACTTGTATTTTAAATGAATGCTGACTGGCCAGTAGCCAGGCAGGAAGTAGAGGCGGGGCAAGGAGAATTCTGGAAAAAGGGAAGTTTCAGTCTGCAGTGGTCACCCAGACACAGAACAAGCAAGATGTGACTGCCTTGCCAAAAGATACCAAGCCACATGGCTAGCACAGACAAATATTATGGGCTAATATAAGTTATAAGAGTTGATAAGAAGCCTGAGCTACTAGGCCAATCAGTTTATAATTAATGTAGACCTCTGTGTGATTTCTTTGAGACTTTATGACTGTGGGACCAGGGTGGGACAGAAACCCCTGTCAATAGTCACACCTTATACAGTTTAGGAGGTAAGGATGGTTTACAGTGATTCGGCGTGTGGATTAAAAAAACAAAACATTACCCAGGCGATGGTGGCGCACGCCTTTAATCCCAGCACTCGGGAGGCAGAGGTAGGCGGATCTCTGTGAGTTCGAGACCAGCCTGGTCTAGAGAGCTAGTTCCAGGACAGGCTCCAAAGCCACAGAGAAACCCTGTCTCGAAAAAAAAAAACAAAAAAAAAACATTATTTAATGGTATTTGCAGATTACACAAGGTTAAATTTTCAGTATCCAGAAATAATACTTTATTAGAATACAACAAGCTTATTTATTTATATATGTGTTAATTTTGTGCTAAATATTTACTATTTTTCCCTTTACAGAAAAAGCCTGCAGAAGCCTACAGTGAGGGGAAGTGCCAGGTCTTGGAGACAGAAATTGATTTTCGATGAACTTTAAACATAACAACTGAAACAAAGCAAATAACCCATTTGCCACTGTGAGGCCTCAGGTCTGGGCTGCTCTGAGAATGGATTATTCAGTGACTGCGCTACCAGAATTCCCAGAAAACAGTCCCCGCGGAATGCTAATGTCATTACTATTAAATTTCATAGTCATGACTTGGAACCCATCTCCTTTCAGCTAACTCAATCCTCTCTCCACCTCCACACACACAAATTCAAACTGTTTTTGCTTCAACTGTCTCTCTCCTCGCTGCTGTTATGAACGGAACAATCTGGGGGGGCTCCTCAGATCATCTATGTAAATCTACACCAGTCTTTAAATGCAAGTAATTCTGATGGTTACAATCAAAACATGCGTGCTGTTTTCAGGGCTGAGAAGAATATGGAATTAATTACAGTGGGTGTGTGAATGAGTCCGCCTACCAGGTAACGCTGAAGACCAATCATCTCCCATGAGTCTGAAGAAGAAGCAGAGCAAGCAGAGACCACTGGGAGGCCATAAGGCAGTCAGGATTGGAAAAGGATGTGTGCATGAACAGGCTGAAGGAAGTGGGAAGGAAGCTGGGTGAAAGCAGAGAGGCTGGCTTTACGGAGACCAATGGTGAAGACAGACACACAAGGGCAGGTATCTGAACGCCCTGAGGGGGTCACGGGAACCTGAGTGATTTCTGGATACCTGTTCCCTAGCTATAACTGGTTTTTTTTTTTTTTTTGTGTGTGTGTGTGTGTGTGAGAGAGAGAGAGAGAGAGAGAGAGAGAGAGAGAGAGAGAGAAATGTCATTGATGAATATATAAACCCTGCTTGCTACTATTTTCTTTATGGTATGTATGATATGTATATGCTTCTTTTACAGAAGAATCCAAACTTCAAAACCAGGTTTGAGTCCCCTACTCCATCACCCCTTACAGGCCACTCCATTTCACTGAGTCTTTCCCATGTGAGTGGGTTGGGACTGCTATATAGCCCTTGTGGATCAATGCTCTAGAACCCCAATTCTGTGCTTCTGGAAGTCCTCTAGCATGTTCCATCTGTCCTGGAACTCACCACAGCCCTTCCTACACAGGACAGAAGCAGGGAAGACCAAAATCCCAGGCATCACATAGGTGATACTGGTGGCAAATTAAAATTTTATTTAATTAAAAAAAGAAAAGTGTGTGTGTGTGTGTGTACACATGTGCATTGTGGTGTATGTGGGCATATGTGTGAGTGTGTGCAGATTTCATGACACAATCTATGCTTTAGGTAATGGAAAAGGAATTAAAAAGCTTCACTAACTGGTTTAAGCCTGGGAAGGAAGGAGTCACACATGAGCCGGGAGGGGTGGGGATGGGTCTGGAGATGGTTTCCTGTGGGTATGCAGTTTAAACCTAGTTGAAAACAGCAAGAGGGAGCAGCCTTCGGAGATCCCGTGGATCTGTGTCTTGCTTCAACAGTGTTTGGACGGAACAGACCCGGGGCCTCCCTTTGTTAGCTTCCACCGCTCCTCATCTGCAGCCGCAGCCTCTGGGACCATCACCTCGCCGCCTTCAGCTCCCAGGACCAGCTAAAACCATCTCTTTGCGGGTAGCTCCAGACTGCGTCTCAACCATGACCTCCCAGATTCGTCAGAATTATTCCACCGAAGTAGAGGCTGCCGTGAACCGCCTGGTCAACCTGCACCTGCGGGCCTCCTACACCTACCTCTCCCTGGGCTACTATTTTGACCGGGATGACGTGGCTCTGGAGGGTGTAGGCCACTTTTTCCGCGAATTGGCCGAGGAGAAGCGCGAGGGTGCCGAGCGTCTCCTCAACTTGCAGAACGATCGCGGAGGCCATGCACTCTTTCAGGATGTGCAGAAGCCATCTCAAGATGAATGGGGTAAAACTCAGGAGGCCATGGAAGCTGCCCTGGCCTTGGAGAAGAACTTGAACCAGGCCCTCTTGGATCTTCATTCCCTGGGCTCTGCCCACACAGATCCTCATCTCTGTGACTTCCTTGAAAACCACTTCCTGGATAAGGAGGTGAAGGTCATCAAGAAGATGGGCAACCACCTGACCAACCTCCGCAGGTTGGCTACTGGGCCCCAGGCATCTCTGGGCGAGTACCTCTTTGAGCGGCTCACTCTCAAGCATGACTAGAAGGCCTCTCCTTCCGAGGGGCTCCCACCTCTGCTCTGCACCAGCCCGCCTCAGGACCTTCACCCTAACCTCTCAAGAAGCCACTAGGCAGCTTTGTAACGCCCTGGAGCCCCTCTCAAGTTTTGGACCAAGTAAAAATAAAGCCTTTTGAAGCAGCAAAAAAAAAAAAAAAAAGAAAAAGAAAACAGCAAGAGGCCTTGGTGTAAAGCAGTCAGACTACAGGTGCAGAGTTTACACTGTGACAACATCCAGGCAATTCACACCCTTATGGAAAAGACTATCGAGAGGGTGAAAGATTAATAATGACCAGTAAACTCGAGGAAGGTTCTCAGTCCCAGCAAAGATGACAGGGAAGCAGCGAGTCTCAACGGCCCCCACCAACTAAATTAACAAGATACCTGAGACTGACTAGATCTGGTGGACGGTAGAGAGCACACATGCATGCACATACACATGCACACCCGAAACTGTGGCCCTCTAGTTCAGCTTTAAGAATTAATGTTTCTCTTCTATAGCTTGTTCATAATGAACCCAGGCTTTAAAGTCCACCAAAGGCTGTGTCTCACCGTTCCCCTTGCTTTTCTATTTCACCTGCACAACAGAGACACCAACTTCTGGACCACAAGACTGTTAACATTTCATTTACATACTTAGTACAGCACGGAGCTGAAAGTCAGGATCACGTATGTTACTAGCACCTGCGGCAGCTATGTGCCAGGATGCTCAGTACCAGGGCCCACAGTCTGCCCCTCGGCTGCCCTGTGGGCTAGCTGCTCACGTCACCAGCTTTCTACCAAAGTGCTCTCCGCTGAAGATTCTGAGAGACCTGGAGCTCTGAGATAAAGGATTGACAGTGTGAAAGCTTGGCCTCCTGCTTCCAAGGGAGAACGTGAAGGTGTGATTATACTCCAGTCAGGCCAAGGCTTGACTTAAGGCCTTCTTTGCTTGGTCTCTCCTTATCTGCGGGGTTCCCCCCTCCTCCCTGCCCCCCCAGTGCTCCCTCCGCAAATCCCCCACATGCAAATTCCACTCAGGCTCTGCTCCTAGAAAATCCACCCCCAGATCCAACTGTAATGATTCTTTTTTTAATCAGGCGATGGTGCCAAAGTCTAAGTCTCGGCATGTTTACTACGGCACAGCTATATTATCAAGAAATGAGGAGCAACCTGGAACTACACAAGGGGACGTCAAACATGGTGCAAAAAAAAAAAAGCATCTTGCATATTAATATTAGTGGGTGAGAGAAGACGCGTATGGCATGGTGCTGAGGGAAATAGTCACACGACAAAAGCACCATCTACAATATAATCAAATGCATGAACAAATCTGTGTAGACACAGGAACCTGTCAATAAGTAGTCCAAACTGGGTGTGGTAACAAAGGCCTGCATTCCCAATACTCCAGCAGACTGAGGCAGGAAGGCTGCAAGTCCAAGGTCAACCTGGGTACTTAAAGAGAGCCTGCCTCAAAAACAAAAGGTGCTCTAACACCCAAGTGCTGGTTTGAACAAGAAGGGCCCCCATAGGTCTATATGTTTGAATAGCTGATCACCAGTTAGTGAAACTGTTTGGGAAGAATTAGGAAGAGTGTTGCTAGGGGCAGGCTTGAGGTTTCAAAAGCCCACGTGTGTGTCTGTCCCATCCCCTCCACCCCCACATCAGGATGTTAAACTCTCAGCTACTTCTCCGCACCATGCAAGCAGGTGTATTGCTAATTCTTTGAAACTGTAAGCAAGTCCTCAGTTAAATGCCTTTAGTTAAATGTAAGTAGCCTTGGTCACGGAGTTTCTTCACAGCAATGAGACAACCCATGTCCCTAGTAGCACTATTATCTGGAGCCAGGAGCAGCCCAAGGAAGTGTTCCTCACCAAATAAGCGGAACACACACACAATGAAGCATCAGCCTTGAGAGCGCAGGACATTTTGACACCTGGCTGCTACAGCATGGTCAGATCTCAGCCACAGCAAGTGGACAGCGGATCTCATGGACAGATCTCAGGGACAGCAAGTGAAAGAAACCAGGCATGAGAGAGCAAGCACTTTCTGATCCAACGAGGGGCCTGCTGGGGTCAAAGTCACAGAAGTAGAAAACGGAATGGCGGCTACCTCAACTAGATGGCATCAGTTTTGAAAAGTGGGAAGGTTCTGGAGATTAAGGTCAACAATAAATACTGTAAATACACTGAACATGAAAGATCCATACATGGCACAGATGGCCAAGATAGCCAGACATGGTAGTGTCCACCGTGATCCCCACACTTGAAAGGGAAAAGCCGGTGGATAAAGGTTATGAGTGTCTGCTTTGGAGAGAGTCTCACACCAACTCGGGCTGAGATCTGACACTTGATCTCAAAATAATCATCATCATAATCATCATCATCACAAGTGACTATAGCACATTCTATTATATGTTATTTGACCACAATTTAAAAATAAGAAGATATTAATAGATTTTCTTCTGCAATGTTAAACAACATGGAAATGGGGGTAGCTTTAGAGTTCTTCCGTTTGACCATTCCAGTATGTCTCCCAAAGACTCACGTGTTAACTACCTGGTCCTTAGCTAACGGCATTCTTTTGAGAGATGATGGAAACTTCAGGAGGCGGGGGCTAGCTGGAGGAAGTAGATCACTGGGGGCTTACCTCAAAAGAGAAAACTTATCTTACCCCTGCCTTTTTCTGACCTTTCCTCTCCAGGTCCTGGCTATGGGGTAAGCAGATATGCCGGACCAAACCCTTGGTGTGATATTTGGCCTGACCATGGCCCAGAAACAGCAGAATCAACTATCATGGACAGGACTTCTGAAGCCATGAGAAGAACCTCCATTATGTTTTCCTATGTAGTGGTCCATGCTGGCCTTGAACTCAGGACCTCCTTATGTCTACCTCCCAAGTTCTGGGACTGGATATATCAAAATAATCAGTAACCATTTATCCTCATGGGTATATCCTTCAGATATTTCTCAAAGCAATGAAATCTGCTAACACGGTGTACACTAACTTACCGATCAGACCATTTGGGGAATCTATTTTAATTCTGGGACATTAGAAGTACAGTGCCTGGCTATATTAGGGTCAAAAACTCAGTACCTTAGTGCTTGGGGTTGGAGGCAGGGGCAGGCCAGGGGTACTTGTTTTTAATAATAAGTGGGTCTGGGTTTCTCAACTCATTCCTTTTTATAAAACAAAATCCTTGAGCTTCAACAAAATAACTCAACAGTCACTGCTCTGTGGCCCAGGTTAACTCCACAAAAACTACCAAGAGAAGATGCTTAAACATAAATCCTTGCCCAGACCTTCTAAATCTCTTTCTCCCATAACTGCGGGCTGGACCTAGATTCTTTCCTACACTAGGTAAGTAAGTACTCTACAACCAAGTTATACACTCAGACAGATCTCTGACTAAATTTTCTTAATTTGTTCATTCAATAACCATTCTTAGGTTCTTAAAAAGTACTGGGCAATACAAAAAAAAAAAAAATAGGGGACACATGGTAGCCAGAAGGTCAGTTCCTGGATCCCATGTACCTGGTAAGATAGACCCACGGTGAACAGGATGCTGTGGGACTGCCCTGATTCTATGCCAAGCCTCAGATACACACAACCCACACAAAGACAAGGACTGAGAGTTTCTGCAGCATCTCATACTTGGTGACGCTGTAGTCACCTGGAGCCTGTCACCGCACCACAATGAGGGACTTCTAAGTACCATGGCAAGGACATGTGGTCCACCTGAAACAGCCATCATCTCAGGCTAAAAGACAAAATTTCTTTCTTGCTCCAATTTGATTCTTCCTCTCTACTTGGGTGAGACGCCACCCCCCCAACAGTCCCCTGGGGAAACCACATTTGGGAGCCTGCCTGGCCATCTCATTTCCCTTAATGGACTTGATACCAACCCATCCCACTCCAACCCCATCACCTGGCTTTGTCAAATAAGGAGGGGATGATAAACATGGCTCGCCCAATGCCTGGCCTTATCCTAAGCCTCACAGACTAGCTTTTCACTCTTCTGACTCCTTCCCCACCTACTCATTGTAGGCTCTCTAATTAAATATCACCTAAGTACGATGCTTTTCCCTCAATCCGGTCTCTTGGTAGGGCCCAAGACAATAATTCTAATGAGGCAGCACAGTAAGATGCCAAAGATATTTAACATCAGCATTCCCCCAATACATAGACTATAGCTACTACAAGTCAGATGTTATCTAGTCCATCCACTCGACCTCTTTACCTGCCAAATGTCAACACTAACAAGAAGCAGACCCAACTGGAGAACCGGGCCCCAGATTTCTCTGTATCTCCTCCTTCCCCAGTTGTGCGCCACGGCTCTGCTGTATGCTGCTGCTGTCTGCATATCAACTGGACACAGCTTTCCACACACAGTTAGGAGGACAAACAACTGGCAGATCCAGAACTGTTGGCCTCGGAGAACTGAGATACGTTCGAGAATGGAGTGAAGACGTAGCCCAGACTTAGACAGGCTCAGAAAACTGCGGGGGACTGGAGATGTCACTTTGTCACAACGCTTCGTGTGGGCTACAGCTCGGAGCTCCTCTTCAACCATCAGCACAAGATCTGTGTTGATCCGGGCACATTCATCTGGTGGCCCCTTGGGGACTAAGGGTTCCTATCATTCTCTGAGGTAGAAGGGAAGCAGTACTAAAGGGGCCCAGGCAGACCATGGCTCTGAACTTGCAGTCTGAGGGACAACAGTGACAACAGTGAAGGGGGACTGCCATTATCCTGCCAACTTGGTTTCTGGCAAGACTCTAGATGAGCTTGTAATTCACTGCAGCAATGGACTACCTGAACCAGGCTCCCACCTCTATACTCTCCTGGGTATATACCAACATGGAGTCTAGCTTGGCCTGAAGACTTATTTTAGCCAATGGCATATGAGCAAATACAACACCGAAACTGGATATCCTTAAATATTAGGGCTTGTTTATTCCCTAGTGGAAATTCCTATGCTACCTTGCAAATAAGCTTGAGGTAGTTTTTCAAAAGATTTTGGATCCCTTGGAGAGGCTCCAGTTACCTCCCCCACACACAAAGAACCCTAAGTACACAAGTGAGCCCAGTCAAATATCACAGAGACCAATAATACACGTTCCAGCTGAGCCTAGGCCAGCCTACCAGCACACCAAACAAAGGGTAAATTACTTAATTTGT